GGTGGGAGGTGCTGGGGTCCCTAGGGGGTCTGTCCTCAAAGGGGTTCAGGGAGTTTTCCTGTGGCCCCTTGGTAGTTCTTGCAGGAAGGCTGTCATAAAAGGAGCCAGCCACCCTTCCTGCTTGAGATGTGATCTGCATGCACCATGGGATCAGAGCCTGCACACATAAGTAACTTGCCTCAGGTATTTTGTTTTGGTGACAAAAAGCTGACTAAAACCACATTTGAAATTGGTCAGTGCAATTCTCCATATTAATAGTGAGAAAGAAAAGTCATGTGACCATCTCAGTGATGCAAAACAGAAAAAGCATTTGACAAGATTCATCACCTGCTGGTGATAAATACTTTCAGCAAACTAGAAATATATTTCAACCTCATAAAAGACATCTACAAAAAAGGAAAGTTTATGTTATGCTTAAAGGTGAAAGATCAAACAATTTGCTGCTAAGACTGGGAGCAAGCAAAGCTGTTCCTCATCTCTCTGTTTTGCATGAGGCCAGGCTGCAGGTTGGGGATGGGGCAGGAAAACTGTTTCTAGAAACCTCTGACATGATTGTCTATGTGAAAAATTTAAGGGACGTATTAAAATATTGCTAAAATTAATACGTGAACTTATCAAAGTCACAGAAAGGAAAACTTAAAAAATCAGCAGTGCAATATACCATTAAAAATGATGGGATATTAAAATACTCTTTAATATTTACAAAAGCATTAAAATGTGAAATGCTTACAGATATGCTTAATAAAATGTACACTGAAGAGCTGTAAAGTATTGATGAAAGAGATTAATGAAGATCTAAATAAATGTAGACCAGAAGATTCAGTATGGCCAACATATCAGTTATTTTCAAATTAATACACAGGTCCAATATAATCCCAATCAAACTCCTGATAAGACATTTTAGTAGAAATTAAACTGATTCTAAAATCCATATGGAAATGCAAAGGACTTAGAATAGATGAACAGTTTCAAAAAAGAACAAGTTTGGAAGATTTAGATTGCCTAGTTCTAAGACTTCCTACAGTGCTCCAATAATCAAGATAGTGTGGTACTGGTGTGGGGTTGGACCTATCCATCAGTAGGACAGATCTGAGAGTTCAGAAAGAGCCTTGTTTTTTTTTTACCATCACTTGATTTTCAACAGAAGTGCCAAGGTGATTTAAGGTTAAAAGTGAGTATATTTGGCAAATGGTGCTGAACAATTGGATATGCATATGCAAAAGTTAAACCTCGACTGTTAGGTCACTCATATACAAGAGTTAATTTGAAACAAGTCACAGACATGTAAGCTAAAACTATAAGACTTCCGAAAGACGTGGGAGGAACCATTTGTGGTCTTGGTTCAAGAAAACATTTCTGGGATAGCCCACAGATCTGTAGAAGGGAAAAGTGATGGAATGGCATTAAGACTAATAAGTTTTGCTTTTAAAAAAAAGATGGGAAAGGAGATAAAAAGGCAAATCAAAAGGCTGGGAAAAGATATTTTCAAAACATTTATCTGACACAGACCTGGATACAAAATACATAAAGAACAACACTTCTCAGGTACAAATGACAACCCCTTTCTTTCAAATCATCAGAAGATCTGAAAAGATTCCTTATGAAGATCCATGGAAGGTGTGGCATCACACTGAAATCACAACCAGGTGCTACACCAGGCCCTTCATCAGAGCAGCATCATTAGGAGGCTGGCTGCTTCCAAGGCTGCTGTATGTGGAGCTCAGGATTGCTCACACATTGGCATGGGGAAGGCAAAAGGGTTTGGCCACTCTGGAGGTCTGTCAGTTTCTTTGAAGTTAAATAGGAACTGTGTTAGTTACTTTCCTCTCGTTGCTGAGCCAAAGACCCGACACTCAAAGTTAGAGGGGAAGGGGCTTATTTGGCTTACAGTTTGTAGAGGTTCAGTCCATAATCAGTTGGCTCCAAGGCTGGGATAGCAAACAAGCATCACAGAGGAAGAAACAACATAGTGCGCACAGGTAGCAAAGGTAACAAGAGAGAGCTTCAGTTCATGGATGCTGAACACAGCAAAAGCAACAAGAGAAACTTAGCATCGTCTCCCTGTCCCTTTTATCTTACTCAGACTACTTAGGGCAGGAAGCACTCACTCCTTAATCCTAGTGCTCTTGAGCCTAGCATTGCATCATGAATCAATTCCAGCCTCACACGCTCTGGATCAAGCCTACGACCACATGAGGTTTTGCGGGGACATCTAGACCCAAACCATAACAGGAGCTTATGACAAAACCTAGCAACCCCTCTCCTAAGTATATTCCTAAGAGAAGTGACCATCTGATCACAAATGAGTTGTGCTTGAATGACACTACCAAGCATTTCTGGACAGCACCCTTATTCTGAACAACCCTAGTGAAAAAGCCCAATGTCCACCATTTTGTGAATGGATAGACACAGGTCAGCAGAATTCTACTCAGCAATAAAAGCGAATGATCCACTTCATGAAACAATATGCATAAACCTGAGAAGTGTTACGCCAAGTGAAAGAAGCCAGACACAAAGACTGCCTCCTGTGTGTCTATGCACACAAAATGCTAAATTAAAACCACAGCAACAGGTGACAGATGGAGGTTGCATGGGCCTGGAGTGGAGGAGGGGTGGGCAAGGAGGGGCTCTTGGGAAAGGTGGGCCAGTCCTGCTCCATGAGGCAGTGGTGAGGCACCTCACCTCCAAATTCTTTTTATTTAAAAAAAATTTTTTTTGCTACCAGGGATCGAACTTGCATCCTTGTGCTTGTGCAGCAGGTGGCGAAACCACTGAGCTACATCCCTGGCCCTCAACTCCAAATTCTTAAAACCAGGGTGTATAAAGTGCATCTCAATACAGAAGGACACAAAAAGCAAAGATAGGTATTACCCATACCCAGCAATTTTCTTCTTAGATACACACTGAAAAATGCATGCCTACTCAAGAGCTTCAGGGTACACAAATTAGAAGGGTCACAGTTTATAATATTCCTAACCTGGAGGCAGGTGTGCCTCACCAATGCAATGGGCAAAGCAGCTGTGACATCTCACACAGTGGATTTATAGCCAGCAAAGAGTAAGCTTCAGCTGCATACAAAAACACGAGCACAATTCGCACACATGAAGTCAAATGAAGGAAGCCAGATATGTGCACATCATGCTTGGTATCTGTTTATATGAAGTTCAAAAACAAGCAAGACCAAAGCATGGTGGTTGGAGACCTGCGTTTGTGGATACAGACAGCTGAAAGTGCAGGGATGGGGTTTCGGGTGAAGGGGTGCTGCCTTGGCAGCAGGGAGGCCAGCACTGCAGCTGCGGGCTGGTGCTCAGCTCCTGGCTGGAGGTGTTTGGGTGCAGGGGCGGGTGCTCACTTATAAGTTATAATGCTGCTACGTTTACAGTTCATGATTTTTGTGGATCTCTAATATTTCCTAAGACAAAGCCTTTGAAACAGTAATTAAGGTGCATCATGGCACCAGCGAGGTCCCACTGCTTGGTTTCATGAGAGCTTTCTGGATGACCCACCACTGTGCAGTTGCCAGGGAAGCCACTGTGCATCCGAAAATGACAGATCAGTAGTGGCTACTTCTGGAAAAGAGGGTGAGGATTAATGAAAGAGCATTTTGGTTACGTGGTCAGTGCAGTGGTTTATTTATTTATTATTTATTTATTTATTTTTTAGTGCAGTGGTTGAAATGCTTGTCACCCAGGGTCCATGTGCTAGAAACTTATCCCCAAAGTTCTGTGCTGCTGGTGTTTGGAGGGGACCTCTGCGAAGCGACTAGGTCTTGAAGGCCCTGAAGGTCCACATGTGGGTTAATGGACTGGAAGTTCAAGGGTTGCCCAGGAGCAGCTCTGGCACAAAAGGGATCCCTCAGGCAGCTTGCTCTGTTTCATCATGTGTGGCCCCAGCCAGGTCATGGCCCGGAGGAATCCCTCACCGAAGCCAGCAGATCTGGCACCAGGCTCTTGGACTTTGGCTTCCAGAACCGTGAGTCAAATAAACCACTATTCTTTATAAACTTCCCAGTCTGTAGCATTCAGTTACAGCAACAGAAAATGCACTAAGACAGTGAGTTAAAATATAAAGGGTAAGGGCTGGGTATTTAGCTCCGCAGTTCCGATGCCTGCCTTGCAAGTGCAAGGTCCCAAGTTCGATCCCCGGTACCAAACCAAACCAAACAAACATAAAGGGTAAAAAATACTACAAAGTTAAGTGATATATTAGAAAAATAATTAAAATTAATTAGAAAAATTAATTCAATTTGGAAGTTAATACACTAAGAAATTGAATTTTAAACGCTAGTAAATATTACAATAAGATTTAAAGGTAATAGGAAAATTTTTTTTTTTTAGTACTGGCGATCAAACTCGGGACCTTGTGCTTTCGAGGCAGGTGGCGGAACCACGGAGCTAAATCCCCGGCCAAAAATTCTTAATATATGATTACTTTTGTAATCACGAAAACCACATGATTGCTTTTAAACGCTCTTGTTTAGCATGGAGTGACCACCAGAACCACCCAGGGCTTGGTGTGACCCTGCTCTGCAGAAGTGGGCCTTGTGATTTTAATGTGATTCTTCTTTCCCAGGTCCAGACTGGGTTCTCCTTCCTGACCCCCAAGGCCCCTACATCATGTGACGGATCCTCCTGTCCCCACAGCAGTCCGAGGAAACGTGGGGGATGGCGCCACAATGTGGCAGGGAGAGGAGCGTGTGCCTAGGTGAGCCTGGCAGTTACGTGGGGTGAAGCGATTCTGAGACCGGGTTTTAAATTTCGTATGGCTGCTCCAATCCAACCTTGGCTTTAGGTGTCAGAAATCAGCTCCAAGTGTTGAGGCCACAGCTCTGAGTGAGGGGCACTGCAGGGGTCGGAACGATTGAGGGAGACACCCTAAGAGAGAGGGCTAGGACAACTGGGCTGCTCTCCTCTGCCGCAGCATCCTGTATTCAGGGGCCTCTGGGGGGCAGGCAAATCTGCGATGAACACCACAGTTGCAGGGGCCCCTGCTCCACTCACCAGCGTCCGCTCCTCCAGTGGGTGTTCCCGTGCTCAGGATGAACGGTCCTGGCTCAGCGGGGTAGCCGCTGCTGAAGGACTCCCTGAAGAGCTCGCATCTCCCAGGGCCTCTCCCGCCCACTAGGTGGGCCCCTCCTGTGGGCTGACTCCTGGCCCTGCGGCTCGGGAAGGGCTTCCTGTGCAGGTGTCCTGGAGATGCATTTGCCCACTACTCCCATTCCCTGAGCCGGGTGAGCCGAGTGCCAGAGGGGGCGACTAAGGACAGCCCTTCTCCCAAATTCCAGTCTTGGGGAGACACAATTGGACAACAGGGAAAGCCGCATTATGGGGTGGGGGCATCTGCTAGGGACTGGGGAGCAGGAAGGCGGTGTGCAGAGCCTGGGTCTGCAGCTCCTTCAATGGAAAGCCCTGGGGGATAACAGGCTACCTTGGGATTTGTTGCAAGGAGTGAAATAGAAAGTCCTGTAAAGCCCTTAGCACGGTGACAGAAGACAACTGGCGCTGACAAAACGGAAGCTATAGTGGGATGAAGCTAAGGGGGTGGTGGTGGTGCCAGGTAAGGCCCCGGAGTGGAGTGGGGACAATCCCAGGAGTAAGGGGCCTGCGTAAAGGCCCAGGCAGAGGGAGGTGGGCGAACATAAGGACAGGGAGGCTGGAAACCCCACTGGCCCGCGATGTGGAGCTTCTGGGGTCCTGACCACGGGACCCTTCCTGTCCCGCGTAGCACCGCGGCTCAGGGAGGCGCTGTGTGTGTCTCAGCGTCAGAGTGCAGAAGAGAGGCGGATCCTGCACTGGCTCCGGCTTCGAACCTCGTTTCCCTGGAAACCGAAATAACCATGAACCATTGAAGGCGGCTTCGGAGCTCTGCGCGTGGGCGCCGCGACCCGCACACAAGCTGGCTCACAAGCGCGCTCGCGGAGGCAGAACCCCGTCCCCACGATCCGGCGAGCCATCATACGCGCGTGCGGGGCCGGGGGCCGCGGTGCCAAAATCTGCTCTTGGCTAAAAATGCCAGGACTCCGAGCTCCGGAGCGGAGGCGGCGATCCGGGACCAGGGAGCCTTCGCGCCTCTCCAGGAGGGATTGGCGAGGCTGGGAAGGGGCCGCGCGCTCCCTAGTCCCCCTCCCTCCCACGGCCGTGCGCGCAGCGGGTCCGGCCCCCACGCGGCGCAGGCGGCTTGAGTTACCCAGCCAGGGGCTACAGGGTAGGCCTGGCCGCCCTCGCCTCTGGGGTCCCTGCATGCGACGAGTCGGGAGAAGGCGACTAAACTAGTTAATTCACCTGTGTCTGCGGAAATCTGCCTGCTCGGGAGACCAGACTCGACCCGGGCCAGACCCAGACCCAAACCCACTCCCCCGAGGTTCTGCCCAAGATTTCGCCCCAGCCCAGCTTGGTGACTCGGTCCTCAGCGCGCACACGCGACACACCACATACCCACATGCAAACACCCCAAACACACCCCTCGTATTCACATGGCGCGGACACACAGTTCTGCCTCACAACATGCGTGCACGCCCCATCCATACCCTTCCAATACATACCTCACACCGAAAACCGCGCATCCTGCGCACCCCGCAGCCCCACAGGAACACGCCCTGCAGCCCGCCCCCCTTTCCCCCCCCCACTTGTCATCATCTGAATGAGCCTTCTCCGAGCCGTCTGCCTCTGAGCGGTGGCTCCCACCTTCAGACGCTCGGCCCTCGTCCTCGTCCTCGGCCCCGCTTCCCTAGCTTCCCGGCGCTGCGGACGGGGGCGTGGAGAGAGGTGGCGCCGGCCGGTAGGGAGGCGCAGTCCCAGGGCACTGTGAGGAGGGGGGTGCAGGGGTGGGGCTCGGGGCCCGGGAGGGTGAGTCCGGGGAGGCCCGGGAGGCGGTGCCAGGCGAGGCGCGCGGGACCGCGGGCGGGCTGGGGAGGGGGCGCGCGCGCCCTGCGGAACTCGGCGCCGCCCGGGTTCCCGGCTCGGGGT